GAAAGAGACACCACGTGCTGATCTTTAAAAGTGAAGGCTAGTAATGCTTGTTCATTTGACGTTAAATACAGTGACTCTGCTCAAAAACCAAGCTGGAGCAGTGTGCCAGTAAGACAATGATGCATCGTGCTTGCTTGTTTCTAATGCATCGAGCTGGTAGGCAACATAGACAACTCATCACAGAAGCCCTAGAAATTGCTCAGCCCAAATCAGCCAGCAACTTTGCTTTTTTGTGTGTCATTCCTAGTGACACGATTGCAGCTCCTGGAGATGCTGAACACTCTTGACTTTAAAGGCTTGGGCCCTGCAGTGTACCTCCACAAGGCAGTACTGCCCTGCAACTGCAACAGATCTACCATGACACTACTAAGACCAGGCAGGGCAGTTTCAGATCAGATCTTTCAATACTGACTTAATGATCTTGATTACTCTTCAATGATACCAGGTCGCTGCCTGACTCCTGCAGCGTTGCGCCCCACTCATGCCAGGGGGAAGAGTGCAGGGGAATCTCTGGAGGTGCTTTCATGTAGAAGAGACACTCCTGCACTGGTCCATCCTGCAAAATCCATGCACCCAAGGAGTTCACCCCAGTTTTTCAGGGTGACAAGCAAGGCCTTTTGATCACATTCTTCCTCATCAGCACAGCCAGTATGCAGCAGTACTCTCCTTCATCTCTCACACTGTTTAAAAAATGTCGCTTCTATAAACTATTTTCCATCTATATGGTGTCTTTGTGCAGCCTCAAATTTCTTTTGCTGGAGGGTAATATCTGTCCAGTTAAGAAGTACAAGCCTGACCCCGTTTTCCGTTTTTGTAATTTAAGGCTATACAGTGAACATCCTGCTTTTGGTGTACTTAATGCTAAAGGAGACAGTGTCCAAATCCCCACTGTGGTACCCGCTGGTGGGCGAGTAGCATCATCATCATAATCCTCTGGGATGCGACACTTAAAAATTTTTCCAACTCGGTAAAGGAAGAGGACAGAAAGTAAGTATAAAGGAAAGCATCTTTTTAGCGTGGTTTCCTTCAGAGAAAGGAAACCATCTCATGTCTCTTCATGAGACAGATCAAGGACTTTGCTCCTGACACGTCACACTAACCCACTTCTGTGCAGCGAAGGAAATTTAAATATGAAGTAGACAGCCATGTTCTTCCCTCCCCTCATGCTACACAAACAGTCGAATTCTGGGTTTTTTTAATTGCAATACCACCTTTATTCTTTTTTTTTTAACTTTCTTAAGAAAAAAGAAGGGTGTTCTGCTCATCTCGCAGCCATAGCCCGAGCGGTGCTGACTGGTTGTCGCCGAGGAGCTGGGGCCCTACCTCTACCCCATGCACACTTTTGGTGACTTAAACCACACCAACCCAGGACTCCGCCAGGGAACTTCAGGGAAGTCTTCTGCTCTTCCCTTGAGCCCACTGAACTCACACCGACTCAGATGTCTTCACCTCCAGAGTCACCCCTGCTCGCTCCACCATCCCTTCCATCAGCCTGGCTTCCTGCGCCGCTGGCAGTGGCTGTGGGCAGAGGAATGGCGCAGGAACCTTGTGTACATGGAGGGTTAAACAGGCGCAGTGTCACAGCCAGAGCTGCCGGCCTGAGGAGCGCCCAAGACTGTTTAAAGTTCAGGGGGGAGTTCAGCTGGCAGCTGAAGAATCCGTAGCTTGTGCCAGCGCCACGGAAACCCTTTCCAAAACAAGACTCAAAACTACCCGTAACGATCTGGTTTCAGAGCCTGACTTTGACTCACAGCTCTGCTCCCACCACCTTTTCCCGTGGGGGCATTCACGCATATTACGCATTGTCACCCCGTGACCCACCGCTCTGCTCCTGCAGACAGCCCACCGCTCCTCCAGACACCTTCTGCTCCAGCCCCAGCTCCCACCACATGCAGCTTGCCCTGCTTCAGCCTGTACGAGGACCGTCCCTGGGAGGACCAGTCCCAGCACCAATGCACCACAGGAGCAGCGCCTTGCAAGGGCGGAGCAGGGGGCAGTCCTTCCCCAGTCCTCAAGGTACACCAAAAATAATCTCCTTCAAATGAATGCATGTGCGCTGGAAGTCCTCCTCAGCCAGCGGATTGTAAATGCCACTGGTCTCGACTGCCACAGAAGGAGACACGTGCACATACACATCACCAGCAACACCACTCCCTCTTCCACAAATTACAGAAAGGTTTAACAAGATGCACCACCTTGCAAGTTTTACAGGGACATGCCACCTGAGGTTTCGAACACCTTTCACAGGTCCTACCCATTACAGCTGTGGTTTGCTACAAAAACAAATGCCCAACTTCAACTTTCAATGTAGCTATTGTCTACCTGTAACTACACCTGCCATAGTGTGAAACCTCAGCATTAGGCACGGCTCGGATCACTTTCCCAGCTTTGCCCAGTGACACGGAAAAAATATTACACGCAGAAGAAAATGTCATTACCATACTTATTCTTTCATCATTTGGCAGAGTTTTTAAAACAAGGGAAAAAAGGCAGACGGAAGTCCAGATTGAAAAGACATACCTGGTGCTTTCTCCACAAAGATGACTTTGGAGTCTTGCAGAAAGTTATGGCCAGTCAGTATCATTTTTTTCCCTCCAGTAACAGGAAAGCTGTCAGTACTTTGCTTCTCCACCAGAGGCAGTTCTTGGGCAGATCTCTGAGCTGGAGAGTTATAAAGAAGATTTAAAAAAAAACCAAAAACCAACCACAAACACACATACACACAAAAATAAATAAATACTGCATTAGTAAGTAACTTAATGCTTACCCTCATAAACTAAGCTGAGTTTGATATAGAAACAAAGAAAGGTCAGAAGGTTTGCAGCAAACATGGTTGGTTTTCAAACACCTTGATAGTAAATAATAGGGTTATCAAACATAGCAGGACAGATTCAAAAGGCTCACGAAGAACAAGCTGTTTTAAAACTCATCTTGATCTGTACTGTATCAAAAAGTATATTTTTATTAAAATTTGTTTATTTAAAATATTTTTTCTTATGTTATCAATAACATATATGCCATGTGTTTACAAGGCACACATGACAAGACAACCATCCAAGTCCAAAATGTGTTTCAATCACCAAATGCTGTATCGTCAATTCTGCAAACTGTCTTGCAGCAGCAGCAGCAGCAGCCATGGGCCTCACAATCCAGAGCAAGTTCACAGTTTAGAGAGCATATTTCCACTAGCACCTGAGTGCCAAATCAAACGTGGATCCATGCAAACAGAATCCGGTATTCTTGTGGCACGTATCTCATCCCTCCCAACTGGGACACGGAGTGAATGCGGCTGTGCTTCAAGGGATGACGCGACATTTTATCCAGATTACATGGTTCCTTCTGATGTCACATGCACTAAGAGATGCATGAAGTTTTTGGCACCAGCTTATTCCACATTCTGCACTGGAAATAACACTAGCACTTATTTTTTACCCTGTTTTCCACTCCTTTCAGGAGGTTTGCTTGTAACACAACCATCAAAACTGTAGTTCACTGATACAAATCCAATCACCTTCACATTTAGTGGCTTCCTGAGCTTGGCACCTTTGCACGGACCAGTTCAGGATGTATTTAAATTGTACCTTATCCTGCTATATAGCAATTAAAAAGCTCTCACTGATTTCAACAGGACCAGGATGAAACCATGGCTCGTCATGATTTTCGCTTTGCCTGTTTGCCTAGAACCTGCCCTTGAATAAGAAACAAAGAGGAAATTGTTCATCTCATACATATCCTGGAGAGAAGACAGGGCTTTATGCCAGTCTGCTTGCTATAGGTAAGGAGGCTTTGCTATTCTTCACAAATAACATAGGCTTATCTTGCTGTAACTCCCGACTGCCAATGCTCATTTTTTAATTGAAATGAATGACTGTGAAGGAGAGAAGCTGTCACTGTTGGCTAACAGAACTACCCTTTCCTACAACTTATGCCTCCCTTGCAGACTCAGACTACCAGTGCGGCAGCGGTGCTACCGCAGGCACGGTTCTGAAAGTTTGTCACCAATGACACTGCTTTTGCAAGAGGAATGCAGGGATGCTCATTCCTGCAGCCTCTCTATTAACAATCCTTGAAAAAGCACCATGCTTCCAAGAGAACAAATGCCGACAGGCTCCAAGACCTGCCAGACACGCGTTGTGGGACTCCAGCCTGGCAATGACGCAGGGACAAGTGTGGCGACCCTCCAGCATGCATGGGGCTAGGGATGGTCAAGCCTTCCTCCCCATCCCCTCTGCTCCCCACCCCCGGAGCTCACCCCACACATACCCACCGCATGTTAAGTTACTCCCTACCCTGTCAGCACCAGAAAGATCCACTTTGTGGAATCCAAAAAACCCTTAAAAAACTGTCATTTTTCTTTTAATTTTTTTTTTTTTAAATGCAGCTGACCAAACCAGCAATGGGAGTAAGAATGAAATTCAATTTCCACCACTTCTCCTGGAGTGTTGAAGTTACATGAAGCAATAGGTTTTGTTTTGTGTGTGGGAGGCTGATGAGGCTTATGGAGCAAGAATGATATAGGTGTCTTTGGAGGGTGCCTCAGTGTATCTGACAAAAAGCAGTCTGTTCAATCAAAGAGACCCCAGTGCGGAAACCTGGTTTCTGGAGGTTTTCTGAAGCTGCAGGCAGCTCGTGCCAGTGTGTCAGCTCTAGTATACTGATAGCTCCACATCAAAGGGGTTGGGGTTTTGTTTGCTGGTTTTTGCTTTATGATGGGAAGGCAGAGAGTGAATAGGACATGACAGCTGTTTTCCAAAACTCCCACAGCAGTTACCTGTAGGATACGGAGTCACCAAAAAAAAAAAAAAAAAAAAGTAAGCTTTGTCACTGCCAGGTCTACTATTAGTTTAAGTGCATTCTACCTTTGTTTTAAGTGCATTCTTTCCTATAGAAATCAATGCACAAAGCTACACATTTTTTTCCAAGACATGGGTAGTTTGTCTTCAGTATAAACCACATGCTTTTGGAAAGCAGATTAAGGTTCACTAACTCAACAAGCAAAGCAAAACCAATGTCTAAGCACATAGATGGACAAAGTTGCATGTGGGGTGGCACAATACCCAGCAAGAGAAGGATGTTTGTTGCTACTTACAGCACTCAATGGGGTTGGAGGCTACTTGCAAGGAGAGGGTCCTGCCATTGGCCTGCGGGATATGAACCCTGAAGACCAGCCGCACACGTGTGTTCTTCCGACCAATGTCCGTCTCTCCCTTGCGCAGTTCAATGTCAGAGTTTCGGAGCTTTAATATCCCAGCACAGTCGATGCTATCCAAAAGGATACACAGAGAAATTCAATTCATTTCAAGCAGACTTCAGGAAGACACGAGCATGCAACATCTTCTCTCTCTCCTGTACATCCTTCTTAAAAATCTGAGTCAGACACGATCCAATGCCCAGGCTGAACATGGCAGACTTTGTTAAGCCTCATACTTACGTCCACAAGTGGCTAAGTTGGGGCTATCTGTAGTACCAGGTAGTAGCTGCTGTTGAGCACACGGATTTAGGATGCTACTTCAGTTCCCAGAGGAAGAAAATCTAAAAGATCCTTCCTCTCCAACACATCCTGCAAGGATGGGACTTACAGATTAACCAAAGCCCAAAGAAATAGCAAGACTAGAAAAGTCAATGGGATGAGACGGTAGTGCACAAAGTGTTACTAACCCAGAACACAAGGTCACTTACGATTTCACTTGTTACAGCCAATTTGGAGAAAAATCTGACATTACTTGTTATTCTAGGGCAAAGTCCTGAAAATGCTTATTATTCATTTTAAATAAATGCACAGTTCTCCCTGAGGTCAGTTCTACTGTCAATGTGTTTGTATTTGAATGAATTGGAAATACTCCCAAGCTGAGCATTGAGCTGAAGCTCTGCATGAAAAAAACTAAACTCAGAATCTTCCCTCCACATTAGGAAAAAATGTGCTTTTTGTCAGATAGAACTATTACTATTTCTGACCTCTGTCTCCTTTTTGTTAACTTTGGTTTTCTCCTGGATGAGTTTAAAAGTCAGGATTTTTGTCAAAGCAAATTTCAATAGAGGAAGTTCGAGAACAAAAGATATGTAATACACACACTCAAAAACCCACTGCAAAAATACCTCTGCTTTGGCCGCAACTATAAAGCCTACACGGCAACTTCTTCTGGGTACTGGTCTCTGGCATGCATTTTATTACACTGAGTATGCATAGTTTAATTTTATTTTGCATTCAAAGAGTTTAATTCCCCCTCCAGATCTTTGAAGCTCTGTTCTGAAGCAAACTGCATACAAGAACTATGGCAGCACGGTTTTGATCTACGCTTTTTCTAAAGTATAGATTTCAGAATAACAAAAAGGCCCTTGCTGATACGATCAAAGAAATTAATGAAAGCATTAAAGCTTCTCAACAATGCATATTAGCAGGTGAAGCCATAAGAACTATTAAATACTTGTACCCATGTCAAAATTCTACGCAAAGATATGGAAGAAACAGTGTGCTTCTCAATATTGCCTATCCTATAACACTTGTAAAATAAATAAAAAGCATTTAATAAGTTCAGAGCCAATAAAGTTCAAAGAAGAAAAGCATTTAAGTTCAGGCCTGTAAAGTCATGAACATTAAAATCTGAAGTCAATAGCAGTAGCTAAAGATGCAAAAGTTTAAATGTGCATACGAGCTTCAGTGTTTCACTGAATCAAGGCCTGAATACACAAAGTATGCGTGAGAAACGTCTTTAGCTCCAAATTTCAATTCATTGTTAGTGCTACAGGAGATTTCAGACTACTGACATGTAAGGCTTATATATGCCAAAGCATTGTTTGTGGTTCTTGAGAGTGCTCTACTACAATCTGGCACACATGTCACGAAAATATTCAGCTTGGCTCCCAAACTGTGCAACTACCTTTATTCCAGGAAGAAAGATGATCGAAACAGTAATAATGTTCCTAGATGGCCAAAAATGTTATTCAAACTGGATAAAAATTAAGGGCCAAATAAATATTGCCTGGGTACAAATTGGTGAAATTTCAGTAACCTCAATGGCATCATGCCAGCTTACAATGACAGCAGATGGGGCCAATAATTTTGCAGGCTTGTCATGACTTTTAATACAATGCACTGACAGAGGTCCTCAGGTCTTGAGTGATCGTCCTAAGCCTGGCTGGCAATGCAGTTAAACACATTCTAGCTCTTCTAGTTACATGAGGCACTCCAGGGCATGCTGTACATGACACTGCAAACCAGCTTCTAATAACAACTACATGCAGAAGGACTTCAGGTGTCTGATACCATTCTTCATTAAGGAGTGGAAAACTGTATGAATAACAAGGAGTGAAATTGTGATTTTAGTAAGCTCCCTGGGATTTTGCCGTGGTATCTGGTTTGGTGGGGACGGGATTTCTGACTTGCTGTCTTATCTACCTACTTATGTTACTATCTCCCTATACATACACACAAAGGTGCACGCATCTATATATAAACAATGAATACATTCACATTTATATACACAGAGACATGTACATGCACGCAAGCACACATAAATTCCTCCCAAGGCAGACACCTCAGATAAGGGTTAGGATCCTTCAAACGAGGGGGGATACAACTCAAGGGCTATAATCATTTGAACAAGGGGGGCAGAGAGAATGGGATAAAATAATGCGGAAGGTCTCATGTATGTCACATACACAGAGGGATATTTGACCCTTTACACATATTCCTATAACGAAATTTACCTGTAATGGACCTATGGGGCACTTGATTATCACTCAGACTCCTGCTAATTCAGAGATCCTTAGGCATCCATGCCTGCTTTTCTGCGTAGGACTAAACCTACCCCAATTTAATAACTCCAATTTGTAAGTTGTATCACCTTTACTCCTCTTCTTAGCTCTAGAGGCTTTGCTTCTAAACAAATTGCATGAAAAATGCTGATTTTTATTACATAAGAAATAAGAGTGGGTTTATTTGTCTCAAAAAAACCACTACGGTACTTGGAAGTGCTCTCTAAGAGTTTCCTTTGACATCCAAAGATAAATTTTAATAGGCCCTGTTCCTTGTGCTAGTGCATATAGGAGCAAGAGGTGTCATATTTAGAAACTAAATGCAGGAGCTGAGGTAGGAGATATTTACAGCTTGGTAACTGAGATACTCATTTTAAATGGCAAATAAGCACATTGGCTGAAACTCTAGAATGAAAGCAATGAGTTGTCATAAATATTTGTGAACTTCATTTTGTTGTTAAGCTGATTAGGGGCAATTTGTCCCAGCAAAGTTGTGAAAACCTACTGTTACAGAGAGAACTTAAAAAGGAAAAGGAAAATCGTGTACAAAAAAAAAAAACCACCAAACAACACAGAAGTAACCCAAGTGGTGTGACCAAGGGGAAACTGCTAGGAGTGAGATACGGTGCCTGGGTCTTACAGTGCTCTCATGTTGTTCTCTGGAAGAAGCGGAATTTCCAAGACCTTGGTGTTGGAAAGTATTGTTTCGTGGCTGGTGGTGGAAACGGTCTTCCCGGTGATTCGATGAACCTGGTAGAAAGCATGGGGTCGCAGCAGGCGGTCGTCTGCAGTCCCAATGAACAGCTGTAGCGTGAGTGGCTCGCTTTCTAAGTAACCGTGTAGCTGGCAAGAGAACAGAAAACACCCACTGAGCACCATGCACATAAACTGCTAGGAATCAATTAAATTTTTATAAGCAGGAGCGCCTAATTCAAGGAGAGAACTTGTGACAGGTGCTATGTGTTAAGTTCCCCCCTTCCATTTTTCCTGTAACGTAATATTGGTACAATAAAAAGGTGTACTCAGAAAATGTCTCATTATCCTGAAGGACCTGAGGCCCTTTAGATAGGGTAAGCTTTTGAACACTCCTGCTACTTCCATAGAAAACTTTGTACAAATTCTGCTGTGGCGTTCAGCAAAAAAACACAATGAAGTCAATGTTCCCTCCCCGTATTGAGGCTGGCAAAACTGACAGAGTTTGCAAGTGGAAAGGACACAGCTCATCCATCCCCAATCTTCCTGGGTCATCCCTCGTGCAGCAGCAAGGCTGCTGCTCGGGACATGTCCCCTCATTAACTGATTTTTATGCTGGTAAATACCTCCTGGGACAGCGTGGAGACAGATCACATATACATGACTAGTAGCTCACCATGTGTGTCAAATTCTTGTTATAATCGCACAAAAATCTCATTGAAGCTACTGGGCCTGACTTGAACCTCATCCATATTACAGTGACTGCTCTGATGACAACACGAGTTATTTCTGCCACAGGCTGGGGACGGAGCAGGAGCAGAGTCTGACCTCACCCCCACCATCTCCTGAAGAAGCTACTCCGGGTTCACGCCTGTGTGAAGAAGACCACGGGTGGAGCTGTCTCCAGACAGCAACCTCTGCTTAACACTTTCTAGCCTGGAGAAGAGAAGACTGAGAGGGGATCTCAACAGTGCTTATAAATATATAAAGAGTGGGTGTCAAGAGCATGGGGCCAGACTCTTTTCAGTGGCGTGCAACAACAGGACAAGGGGCAATGGGCACAAACTGGAACACAGGAAATTCCACCTCAACATGAGGAAAAGCTTCTTTACTTTGAGGGTGGCAGAGCACTGGAACAGGCTGCCCAGAGAGGGTGTGGAGTCTCCTTCTCTGGAGACATTCAAAACCCTCCTGGATGTGTTCCTGTCAGACCTGCTGTAGGTGAACCTGCTATGGCAGGGGAGTTGGACTAGATGATCTCTGAAGGTCCCTTCCAACTCCTACCATTCTGTGATTCTATGTGATTCTGACACTGGGAAATGAGTCTCACAAAAATAGTTATCTTGCAGTAGTTAGCTACGAAGCCCCATCCCAAGGGAACGGAGGATGCAGCAACTACAGGAGAGAGGAGCGTGTGCAAGGTAGGCTGTCCCACAAGATGTGCCACTGCAGATCGAACCTGCTCGCTTTCTTGTGGGTTTAGTTTCCTCTGTGAATGGTTCGGGTGGGTTTGCGCAAGAGTTATCCACCATCACCGCACCATCACTAAATCTCATCAAAATTAGACCATTGATCATAATTTGGTGAGGAGCAACATCTTTAATTTACGGCGCATGCAAGTCCAAAGCTAGATAAAGTACCACGGTGACCAATGCATGAGAAAGGAAGGACATTGTGCCTAGACACAACTTCTATCACTAACTGGGCATACTGCAGATTTTTCACCCCATGCTTTGGTCAGAAGTGCCAAGAGGAAAACAGAAGTGCTTTAATTTGTCTGATTTGGTGTAGCAATTTTTACATCCTTACCTAAAGCACATGAATGCTGGGAGGACCCAGGGACAGGAGGAAGAGGCTCATTTCCAGCACTCCAACATTTTATCAGCTCTGCATTGCTGAGACACCACACGAAGGCAGCTTGGAGCCCGGGGGTTGTGATATGATATAGGGAGTTTCTGTATCAGCATTGTCAAACTGAAAACACACTAGTGGCAGTTTGAAAATCTGCGGTATCGGCAAAATGACAGAAAGAGAAAAGCAGAGCCAAGCCTGCACGTTGCCTTCAGCAGGGTGCTGTGGGCTACACGTCTCATTTCAGCCCCATACGGAACACCCTCCTCCTAATGACACCAACATTAGCGTTAGGCTGCAAAAAGAGGGCTTTCTGGCTTTAACCCCCATAGCTGAAGATGCAGCCCAAGCTGCTGGCGGGCAATCACAGGTGTGCTCCTGGCACAGCCAGTGGCCATGGGGAAGCCACCATCCTACTCATCGCTGCCGTGTCCCCCTGCCTCGCAGCTCTGGTTGTTCACTGCCGCCACCGGCGCGAGCGAGCGGGGCTGGCGGAGTGACCTGGATTCGGCCTGAGCTGATCTCACCCCACCTCGGCATCTCCAGAGCCTCAGCAGCAACGCCAAGGTGACGGAGGAGATGGAAGGTATCGTGGGATATTTTTGATCACGAGCAGCACACAGGTTTGCAGGGAGGGAAAGTAAGACAGTGTGACACACCAGCCGATTAAATTTCTATGCGTTACCAGCGGTCACTTCTCCAACTCGTCATGGATGGTGCTTTTTATGGAGAGTGTAAAATTAAAACAAACACATATTGAATTACAAGGCCGCTTAAAGGGTAAAAATAGACTAGCGAGTAACTCAAACCTCAATTCAGCAAAAGCAAAATTGGTATCAAGGTACCCATATGTTTTACTGAATTCAGGCAAAGGGGTCAAAAAATGTTGGTCTTTCACTGGGTTCTGCTATTTCAGGTTTTATCTTTAAACCTGAATTCGGCTGCTGCCCTATCTCGTAACCTGCTCCTGAATCTCAGCTTGTGCTTTTCCCACAGGTTTCCTACCAGGAGGCAATTGAACACCCAAAGTCCTCAGCTTCGCATACCTGCCCTCCCCTGAGAAGGGTTCACATGCTGGAAAATAAGTAATATATAAATAATCTCAGATGTATGACTTGCATTGTTTTTTAAGGCTTGTGATCTTTAAACTGAATTTATGTTTGGGGTTTTTTTTTTAAAGACCCTGTTGTACGGCCCTGCTGGGCTTTGCTTTGAATTCATTGCCCGCAATTACTTACTCCCTGACAGGTACTTCTGCACCTGAAGACAAGTAGTTGCTACAGCACTGAACAAACACAAATTTTCAAGAGCTGAAAGACTAATATAATCACTACACATTTGATTTTGGTGCCCTCAAAACATGCAAAATCCTCGCTCTCAATTCACTCTAAGTTTTACTTCATATACTGCAGTAGGAGGCATCTGATCTCTGATACGTATTTCCTTTTGAGTTTTACCCACTGCCTCATATTATTTACTTTTATATTATGTCACATAATCATGCATGCCAACAGAAGCAATAAAAAAAAACGATGCAAGGATTAACATTTAAAGGGGCACATACTGTGGATGACTAATTTTAGATTATGCACTCAGCGCACAATTTCTGTGACAGCGTTGAGCTTTGGGAGTTTCTGGCATGCTGTGATGTCTGGAGAATGGGCAAGATTTTGCTTACTCTTGGCTGGGCGCAACAAGAATATTCTGCAGCTCCCTCAAAATACAGGAGAGCGCTATTACTGTCGCATCGTTCAGCGGGATGATGAGGACGACGGCAGCAGTAAAGGCAGAGCTGTGGTACTCCGGGCTGTTAGATTTGTCAGCAGGTAAAGGGAATATCGAACAAGACAGATGTAAAATGGGAAGGGGGAAAAGGGGGACTGAGTATTTTTCTTGGTTAGGAAAGATCTCACGCGTTCACATCCATGCATATTTTCCATGCATGCTCTGGAATACTGTACTCGGTGGTATAACGATTCTGTTTCCTGGCGTGCGACATGGGATGCATGCGTCAGACACCCTATTTTTATCTTTTTCTCTGTGTAACACAGTCCGAAGCTCTTAATAACTCAGCGGCGGAGTACGGGTGACAAAGGCTGCTCTCGGCTACGGCATTCATAATAAAGGATGTGCCTTTCCTACCAAGCATGCTTTGCTTGGCAATACGTAGATCCAAGTGGAAAGAGCTGTACTTTACCCTGCTGAGAAAGTGTAAAAGGACTTAGCTGCAAATAAGGATCAGGTGCACAATGTTTTGGAATGAGTTTTCCTTCCCAAAGAAAGGTGAGGATCCAGCAGACGCCTGGTTTAGTACAAAAGAAAAATGCAGGCAAAACTTCAATACGCAGGCAAGACCTCTGTGGTCAGTGTTTTTGGTTCTGAAATGAAAGTAGGTCATATTCTCTTGTTCTGACTGACCACTGACTACTCTGCTCTTTTGCTTTTTGAGCAATGCTGTTAAAAATATTTGAACTGGTCTCAAACGATATTTGCATTTATATTGTCTGAAGCTGCAAAGATCAAAATCAGACTTAATTGCGGGCCTGTTTTACACTCCTGTAATTCTATCAAAAGTGATGCAGTCACTGGTAATTAACACCAGAACAGGACCGATCACAGTTAAGCTCTTTGTCACCTTACATCATCTTACGCAAGAGCAAGGGAAAGGCTGCACCGGCTGGGCGACGGCTCCACCGCACCAAGCTTTCCCTGGGATTCCTACACCTCTTCGTCATCGCTTTCACAACACCCTCTCCCACCAACACGTCTTGATTCTCACCAGTAGATCGCTCCTCATCTTGGCGCAGGGTGCCAAAGCAAACCCCAGCCTTTCCCTGGGCAGACGCACCGTGCACCCTGCGCCGGGGCTGAATGTTTTTCCGCGTCCAGGCGCCACGGCGCTGAACGCCAGGCGTCTTCCGCCGGCAGCCAGCAAAGAGCGAGGGAAACAGCGCTGCTTCACCCCTCACAGACGACATCCAACTGCAAGGTACTGATTCAGCCCTACAGCGATGATAACCTGAGGATTACTGCAGCCATGAGCATAGCCAGCCTGCCTGGATTCCAACCGTGCGCCTGGTGCATATCTATGAAGTCTGGCAATCAGAATTAAACAGACTTCAAAAATGACGAGCAGACGGAGCTGAGGTGCTTATAACACTAACGGAAAAGAAGCAAAACCTCCCCAAACCTCGCTGCAGTTATCGAATTTTGAGGAATTTTTGCAAACGTCGCGTCCAATAACTCAAGCGCTATTTCAGCATTGGTGGTTATTCTAGAGTCTGTGAGGAAAACTTCTA